CAGAACTGCGGGCCCAGAGATGCATTTTGTAACTCTGTTGATCATAGGAAATGAGTCAGTGAGATTCGTTATAATGGAATGGAGGGGAAATTTAGCTGAGAAAATGACTTTGGACGAAGAGGTGAAATTCCCCTGCACAGATTTTAGATCTAGAACCACTCCCATGTGCTTTGTTCATTGTCACAAAACCTTTGTATTGCCTGCAGTCTGTTTACATCATGACGATACATTCATGAACTCGGGCGCTGTTGGGGTCACTGTATCACAAGTCAAAAGCCACAACGGAATTGTCCAGACTGACTGAGATTGTCAGTACGTTCTTCGATTGTTTTCTCTGCTTGGCCATCCCAAGGGAAGGGCATTTTGCTAAGAGCTTTTTCTATAAGCTGCTTTTCCGGGATAGCCGAAATAACTTAAAAAATATGGATCTGCAAAATGTTCAAGGCGTAACATAGAGGACAATGTCTCTGTCAAGTTTCGAAACCCTCCCTTTCCGTTCTCCACTCCCGTGCACTCATTGGCCATCTTCCAAGTCATTCTACCCCTAATCTACTCCAGCTCAAAGGAATTTCCCCCCCTCCCATCTCATCTCCTAGGGGATATTATCTCCAGGGAAAATAAGTAGGTGAAAAGTCAAACGTCCCTTTCCAGATGCCGTCGCTTCTCCTTCTTATGTCAGCACTAGAGTAAATGCAGGTTGAAGTGCTGACATCCTCTGCTAAAATGCCAGCAGTCTTGGGGCAGGTACAACAGGGGTGTCAAACGCAATTTCATTGTGGGCCGCATCAGGGTCGTGTTTGACCTCGGGGGGGGGGGGGGGGGGGGCATGGCTCAGGTGGGTGTGGCTGGGGTGGGTGTGGCCAGCTCAACATCACTCATGTCGGGGGCACCTATGGTGGCCCAGGTTGGGCTGGGGGGATTCTCCTGCAGCCCTTTGCCAGCAAAAACGGAGCCCGGGAAGGCAGTGCACAGGCTAGCCCTTCGTTATTTCCGGGGCGGCCCCGTGGGCCAGATCTAAGCATCCTGTAGGCCAAATCCGGCCCATGGGCCTTGAGTTTGGCACCCCTGAGGTAGAAGGATAAGCATATAAACAGATAAGACATGTCTGTCTGTCTGTATCAGAGGTGGGTTTCACATTTTTACCACTGGTTCACCGCGCATGCGTGCACCTTCCACGCAAACGCTCGGCCTCCCTTGCATGCACTTTGCTCGCGCATGCACCTTCCACACATGCGTCCAGCCTCGAAAATGTGGCTAAATAGGACGGCATAGCACTGGGGTGGGTGGGCGGCAGTGGTGGGATCCCCCTGGCTTCACAACTGGTTTGGTGATCGCGTGTGTGTGCGCAGTTTGAACAAATCTTCACTTCCGGGTTTGTTCGGAGGAGTAACATGCGGCAATTGGCTCTGCCACGCAAATCAGCTGAGGGGATAAAGGTAGGAAAATAGCGTGGGCGGGAGGGTGGGCCCATCTGATCGTCAGGGCGAACCGGTTCGCTCCCAGCTGATCGTCGGAACTACCAGTTCGCCCGAACCGGTCCGAACAGGTAGAATCCCACCACTGGTATGTATGTATGTACATACGATAAACAGATAGATACTAGATAGAGGTGGATGGATAGATGATAAAGATAGAGGTATAGATAGATAACAGAGATAGAAGGATGGACTGATAGTTGGATAGGTATATAGAGATAGATGGACAGATGGATAGATAATAGTCGATAAAGATAATGATAGAGCTATTTAATGGGGCACAAGAGGATGGGAGATGAGATGGCAGATGGCTGGTGATTTTCGTGTTGATCTGGCTTGGTTGATCACAGGTGACAAGAAGTCTAACAGAGCTCTTGAAGAGTGGTATCTGAGGAGATTCTCTCTCTCTCTGGCCAATCCTATTTCTCTTCTGATTCACAAAGAAACTTCAGGAGACGAAGCCTTGGAAAAGACGCCTGAAGCATCAGCGAGGAAGGGAAAATACGAATTTAATGAATAGGTGCTCATGATTACGTTTACACCAGGAGTATCCAACCTTGGCAACTTTAGGACTTGTGGCAGGGGTGAAATCCAGCAGGTTCTGGAGAACCGGTAGCGGAAATATTGAGCAGTTTGGAGAACCATCAAATACCACCTCTGGCTGGCCCCAGAGTGGGGTGAGAATGAGGATTTTGCAGTATCCTTCCTCTGCCACGCCCACCAAGCCACACCCACAGAACCGGTAGTAAAAAAAAATTTGGATTTCACCACTGACTTGTGGTGAGCAAGGCTGGCTGGGCAAGTCTGGGAATTGAAGTCCACAGATCTTAAAAATGCCAAGGTTTGGACAACCCAGCTTACACCATAGTGATCAGGGAGGTGAAATATCTCTTCTCGCTTACTGTATCTACAGACTGTGGTCGAATACTTGTTTAGGGTAGCAAACACCCTTTTAGGAACAGATTCCCTACTGACACCATGACTTCATGCAGCGTTCGGCTTGTATACTGTCGGTGTTTTAATACTGTATTTGTTCTTCCACTGGACTTGGGACTCTGCAGTCCCTCCCTTGTCAGCCGGTGGAAGAAGACAAGGACAACCCCTTTTGAACATTTTGCCAAGAAAACTAAACAGATTTCTCCAGGTAAGACTCAGGTATCACACTGAACCAAATGCAGAAAAAACCCAACAACACACTGAATTACAGAGAAACCCCAGCATATAATCATTTGTTTAGTGAACCTTTGAAGTTACAATGGCACTGTAAAAAGTGACTTACAGCCATTTTCTTTCTTCTTCTTCTTTCTTTTTTCAATTTGTATACTGCCCTTCTCCTAGTGGACTCAGGGTGGTGCACAGCCAGAACTAAAACACATACCAATACAAAATTTAAGATTATTAAAAGATTTTCCACACCTATGACTGTTGTAGCATCTCCATGGTCACTGGTTAATTGTTCTCACCCATAGGAAGTTTCTGATTAATTCCAGGTAGCTTCTCTCCCTGATTAGTTTCCATCCATTGTTTCTTGTCCTGCCTTTTAGTGGTTTGGAAAATAATTTGAACCCCTTTTCTATGTGGCAGCCCCTCAAATACTGGAAGACTGCTATCATGTCATCCCAGTCCTTCTTTTCTCTAGACTAGCCATATCCTGCAACAGTTCTTCATAAATTTTAGCCTCCAGGCCTTTAACCTGTGGAAGACTGGTTGCAGGAACTGGGCACGGCTAGTCTAGTGAAGAGAAGGACCAGGGGAGAGATGATAGCAGTCTTCCAATATTTGAGGGGCTGCCACAGAGAGGAGGGGGGCCAAGCTATTTTCCAAAGCAACCGAAGGACAGACAAGGAATAATGGATGGAAACTGATCAAGGAGAGATTCAACCTGGAAATAAGGAGAAATTTACCGACAGTGAGAACAATCAATTAAGTGTTGTACCTTATGATTCTCGATGAACAAATCTTCTCTTTTATGTACACTGAGACATATGCACCAAGACTAATTCCTTGTGTGTCCAATCACACTTGGCCAATAAAAAATTCTATTCTATTCTATTCTATTCTATTTTATCAACAATGGGACAGAAGTTGCCTTCAGAAGTTTATTTATTTTTATTCATTCATTCATTCATCTATTAGATTTATATGCCGCCCTTCTCCGGAGACTCAGGGCGGCTTACAATGCGTTAAGCAATAGCCTTCATACTTTTGTATATACCTGCTTAGTAGGGCTTTCGGCCCCCCCAAGGGGTGTTTTTTTAATACAAAGTCAGCTTATTGCCCCCACAAGCCGGCTCCTCATTTTACCTACCTTGAAAGGATGGAAGGCTGAGTCAACCTTGAGCCTGGTGAGATTTGAACTTACAGTAATTGCAGGCAGCTGGTGCTACTTAATAGCACTTTAGTCTGCTGCACCACCAAGTTATGGGAGCTTCATCACTGGAAGCTTTCAAGGAGAGACTGGACTACCGCCTGTCAGAAATGGTGTAGGGTCTCCTGCTTGGGTGGGTGGTGGTGTTGGACTAGATGACCTCCAAGGTCCCTTTCCAACTCTGTTAATCTGTCTCACTTAGCAACGGATTCATTTGAGCTCAATTGCGGTTGGAAGTCGTCGCCTGCCTCCAAGGAGCAACCAACCTCCCTGCTTGAACTGGCCCTTTCCAAGGGAGGGAGGGATGGAGGAACCCCGAGGGAACAAAATTGGGAAGCCCGCATCTCAACGGTGGGTCGTCGGGATGGGCGAAGCGGGTTACAGTTCAGTGCGGGCTTCCGAAAAGCGCAGCCGCGCCAAGAGGCAAAAGAGAAAGAGAGAGAGAGAGAGAGAGAGAAAAAAAACCCAAGAAAAAAAAGTTGGGAAGCTCGCATCTCAACGGGTAAAAGCGCAGTCGCGCCAAGAGGCAAAAGAGAAAGAGAGAGAGAGAGAGAGGAAAAAAAAAACCCAAGAAAAAAAAGTTGGGAAGCCCGCATTTCAACGGGCTGGGTCGTCAGGATGAGCAAAGCGAGTTACAGTTCAGCGCGGGCTTCCCAAAAGCGCAGCCACGCCAAAAGGCAAAAGAAAAAGAGAAAGAGAGAGAGAGGAAGAAAAAAAAAAAAACCCAAGGAAAAAAAGTTGAGAAGCCCGCATCTCAACGGGTAAAAGCGCAGTCGCGCCAAGAGGCAAAAGAAAAAGAGAAAGAGAGAGAGGGGGGAAAAAAAAAACCCCAAGGGAATAACGTTGGGAAGCCCGCATCTCAACGGGCTGGGTCGTCAGGATGGGCGAAGCGAGTTACAGTTCAGCGCGGGCTTCCCAAAAGCGCAGCCGTGCCAAGAAGCAAAAGAGAAAGAGAGAGAGAGAAAGAGAGAGAGAGAGAGAGAGAGAGAGAGGGAAAAAAAACCCAAGGAAAAAAAGTTGGGAAGCCCGAATTTCAACGGGCTGGGTCGTCAGGATGAGCAAAGCGAGTTACAGTTCAGCGCGGGCTTCCCAAAAGCGCAGCCGCGCCAAGAGGCAAAAGAAAAAAAAGAAAAGAGAGAGAGAGAGAGAGAGAAAAAAAAAAAAAAAAAGAAAGAAAGCCAGGGGGAAGAAGAGCGCGGGCCCAGCCTCCGAAGGCGTGGACAAAGCAAAGGCAGAAGTTGCTCCGCTTTTCTTTCTTTTGCAAGGAAGCCTAACCTAAACCGCCGAGGACTCTCGGTAGAAGACCAGCAACAAAAAGCGGGACGAGAGCGAGCACCCCGATCGTCGGAAGGAGTCTCTTCCCCCCACCCCACTCTTCTCGGGTCCCCAACGGGTCTTTCCCTCGGCCTCGGCCTCCCCTCGCTCGGCAAGCCTCCTTTCTGCGGGTTTTGCAAGCCCCAAAGGACGCCCGGAGCTACTGGAGATCATCATCATCTTCATCTTCATCTTCATCATCATCATCATCAGCGGCGGCGGCTCCATGGATCGGCTGGGCCGGACGGCGCTGATCTGCGGTCTGTTGCTTCTTTTCCCGGGGCCGCCGCTGCCGAGCCTGGCTCAAGAGGAGCCGTCCTGCGGGGCCGCCTTCGACCTCTACTTCGTGCTGGACAAGTGAGTGAAAGCGTTTGTGTGTCTGTCTGTCTGTGTGTTGTGTTGTGTTGTGTTGTGTTGTGTGTGTGTGTAGCAGGTCCAGGGGTTCCCCCGGGGGACCCCCTCTCCCCTCGGGAGACCCCCCGATCCCCTTTCCTGCCTCTCTCCCCCCCCCTCTCTCGACCGCGTTGCAACAGTGTATTTTTGCGGCGATCTTGCAACACGCTCGGCGATCCGGTGGGAGAGAAAAACAACAACAACACACACACACACACACACACACACGTGCAAGATTTTCCACGGGTGGGTGGGTGAGTGAGTGAGTGGGTGGGTGCAGCTGCTGCTGCTCCTCCTCCAGGGGAGACCCTTCCCACCCTCCCCCCCCCGCTTCCTCCTCTTTGTAATGCTCTCTCTCCCCCCCGCGCTAAGTCTGAAGTCTGGGGTGAAGCGTGTTGCAGCAACAAAGGATTAAAAAAGGAAAGCTTTGCAGAGTTCGGGGGTTGTGCTTTTGTATTGAAGGAGGGAGGGGTGGAAAAACAAATAAAAAGTTTTGCAGCCCTGGAAGGGCAGGTAGTCCTCGACTTACGACCGCGGGTGTATGTGGGGAGGGGGGGACACCCAAAAAGTGCTGTGGTTCAGGGAGAACGCCATGGGTTAAGTGAGTTTTTTTTAAAAAATTATTTATTTATTTATTTATTTATTTATATTTATATTTATATTTATATTTATATTTATATTTATATTTATTTATATTTTATTTGTTTATATATATAAGCAATATTGCTCCTGGAAGCATGAAGCCGAGAACACCAGCCTGAAGATGACGAATGAGACTTCGTCGAAACGTTGCCAAGAACCTCTAATTTTACGCGGGAGAAAACCCGAATAACCAAAGACCTACATATATATATATATATATATATATATAATATATATATACATATATATATTTATTTATTTATTTTTATATGCCGCCCTTCTCCAGAGACTCAGGGCGGCTTACAATGCGTTAAGCAATAGCCTTCATACTTTTGTATATATATATATATATATATATATATATTTAATTTGATTTATATGCCGCCCTTCTCCGGAGACTCAGGGCGGTTTACAATGCGTTAAGCAATAGCCTTCATACTTTTGTATATTTTATACACAAAGTCAGCTTATTGCCCCCACAAACCGGCTCCTCGTTTTACCCACCTTAGAAAGGATGGAAGGCTGAGTCAACCTTGAGCCTGGGGAGATTCGAACTTACAGTAATTGCAGACAGCTGGTGTTACTTAACAGTGCTTTAGTCTGCTGCGCCACCAAGGCTCTATATTATTCGGTGTTCTTCTTTTTTAAAAAAATATGATTTATATGCCGCCCTTCTCCAGAGACTCAGGGCGGCTTACAATGCGTTAAGCAATAGCCTTCATCCTTTTGTATATTTTATACAAAGTCAGCTTATTGCCCCCACAAACCGGGTCCTCATTTTACCCACCTTAGAAAGGATGGAAGGCTGAGTCGACCTTGAGCCTGGGGAGAATTGAACTCGCAGTAATGGCAGGCAGCTGGATGTTAAATGCTGCCTTAGTAGGAGGCATTAGCCTCCTTACGCCACTCAGGCTCTTAATTTATATACCGCCCTTCTCCCGAAGGACTCAGGGCGGTGAACAGCCATAATAAAACAGTGTACAAAAATTGGATTTAAAAGCAGATTAATTAAATCGTAGCCAAATTTAAAACTCTCCTTTAAAACCAATTTTAAAACCCCCCATTAAAACCAAATTAAAACCATTTATCCCATCAGAGCGGCTTGCTGGAATAACAGGGTCTTCACTGCATGATGGAAGGCGCGGAGGTCGGGGATCCTTCATATGTCCGGGGGCAATTCATTCCAGAGGACAGGGCCCCCCACAGATAAGGCTCTTAAATAAACAAGTTTTATTTTATTTTTTTTCCTTTTCATCATACATGTTTTATGAAGAGAGTGCTGACTGGGTCACATCTTCTACATCATCATCAAAATCATCGTTATACTATTATCTTAATCTTCCCATTTTTTTTCCAATATTTGGGTTTAAGTGAGTTTTTTTTACCCTCTTTCTTGCCACAGTGGTTAAAAAAAGGAATCACTGCCGTTGATAAGTTAGCAACCCAGACGTTAAGTTTTGTTGCTCTGAAGTGCACGTAGTCCTTGACTTACGACCGCAGGGGAGCCCAAAAAGTGCTGTCGTTCAGCGAGACATGGGTTAAGTGACTTTTTTTCACCCTCTTTCTTGCCACAGTAGTTTAAAAAAAGGAATCACTGCTGTTGATAAATTATCAACCCAGACGTTAAGTTTTGTTACCCTGAAGTGCAGGTAGTCCTCGACTTATGACCGCAAGGGAGCCCAAAAGTTCTGTCTTTCAGTGAGACATGGGTTAAGTGAGTTTTTTTTAACCATCTTTCTTGCCACAGTGTTTAAAAAAAGGAATCACTGCCGTTAATAATAATAAATAATAATAATAATAATAATAATAATAATAATAATAATAATAATAATTTTATTTCTATACCGCCCTTCTCCCGAAGGACTCAGGGCGATGTACAGCCTATTAAAAGCACAAAGACAGACATCAATTTAAAAATAATTAAAATTATTAAATAATTTGGGCTCAGATTTAAAACCCCAAATTTAAAACCCCCAATTTAAAATCATTACATCGATAGCCCGGCCTGGCGGAACAGCAGGGTCTTGAGGGCACAGCAAAATACGCGGAGGTCGGAGATCTTACGCATTTCCGGTGGCAGTTCATTCCACAGGGCAGGGGCTCCCACAGAGAAGGCCCTCCCCCTGGGTGTCACCAGCCGCCATAACTTGGCCGATGGCACCCTGAGGAGACCCTCTCTGTGGGAGCGGACTGGCCGGTGGGAGGCTATTGGTGGCAGAAGTCGGTCTCGAAGGTACCCCGGTCTTATGCCATGGAGCGCTTTAAAGGTGGTAACCAGTACCTTGAATCGCACCCAGAAGACCACTGGGAGCCAGTGCAGCTCGCGCAGGAGGGGTAAGCAATCCGGTTGTTAAGCGAATCTGGCTTCCTTCCACACACACCCAGGTTGATTTTGCTTGATTGGAAGGTCGCAAAAGGAGATCACGTGACTCTGGGAGACACACAGCGACGGTCATAAATAGGAACTGGTTGCCAACTGGTTCTTCTGAATTTTGATCCGGTGATCACTGGGTTGCTTGCAAAAGACGTCGCTGTGAAAAACACTCCTAAGTCACATTTTTCAGAGCCGTTGTAACTCTGAACAGTCACTCAACGGACTGTCGTAAATCGAGGACTACCTGTAGAGTCACAGGAAGAGATTTGAACTTGCAAAGAATACAGAGCTGGAAGGTTCGTTGCCGAAGGAGAGGATAGAAAGGAAATGTATGTAAATGACATGATTTGTGAACGGTTAGAGCAGGGGTGTCAAACTCAATTTCATTGAGGGCTGCATCAGGGTCGTGTTTGACCTTGGGAGCCGTGGCCAGGGTGGGCATGGCCAACATGACGTCACTCATCAAGGCTCTGTTTTTGGCCACGACAGCCTCTTGCAGCCCTCTGCCAGTGGAAACAGAGCCTGGGAGGCCTGTGTGTGGCCCTCCCAAGCTCCGTTTTCACTGGCAGAGGGATGCAGGAGGCCGTCACGGCCGAAAACGGAGTCTGGGAGGCCTGTGTGTGACCCTCCCGAGCTCCGTTTTCACTGGCAGAGGGCTGCAGGAGGCCGTCACGGCCAAAAACTGAGCCTGGGAGGCCTGTGCGTAGCCCTCCCAACCTCCGTTTTCACTGGCAGAGGGTTGCAGGAGGCCGTCACGGCCAAAAACTGAGCCTGGGAGGCCTGTGCGTGACCCTCCCGAGCTCCATTTTCACTGGCAGAGGGCTGCAGGAGGTCGTTGCGGCCAAAAACGGAGCCCGGGAGGCCTGTGTGCGGCCCTCCCGAGCTCCGTTTTCGCTGCCAGAGGCATTGCAGGCCAGTCCTTCACTGTTTCCAGGCCGGCCCCGCGGGCCAGATCTAAGCACCCCGTGGGTCGGATCCGGCCCATGGGCCTTGACTTTGACACCCTTGAGTTACAGGAGGGCATAGTGATTGGGATGTTTCCTTTGCCCCTTAATGTGATTATTATATAGATGAGTCCTCAAAAAGATGGAAGAAGTCTCTTAATTGGGGATGTGATTGTGCTTGTTCTTTTGTGTGCCGCCAATAAGAACTTGAGTGATTGACAGACGGTGTTTGGTAGCATGAATAGATAGTCCTTGACTTACAACCATTCGTTTAGTGTTCGTTCAAAGTTACAATAGTGAAAAAAGAATGACTTATGACTGGTCTCACACTTATGACGGTTGTAGCATCCCCATGGACACGTGATCAAAATTCAGGTGCTCGGCAACCGACAGGTATTTACGGTAGTTGCAGCAAAGTTACGTGATTTGCAAACTTCCCAGCCAGTTTCCGACAAGCAAAGACAACAAGGGAAGCCAAATTTGCTTAACAACCGGATGATTCACTTAACAGCTGCAGTGACTTGCTCAACAACGATGGCAAAAAAGGTTTTAAAATTGGAGGCGACTCGTTTAACAACTGCCTTGCTTAGCAGTGGGAATTTTGGGCCCACTTGTAGTTGTAAATCAAGGATTATCTGTAGGATGCAACGTTCTGTAGGTATATAAAAGTTAGTGTTTCAAAGGCCAAGTTGGGCACACTCAACAAGGAATGTGGGTTGAATGATCACAATTATTCACAGGGTGTGAAGCTAAAGTAGATGTGATAGATTGTGTATTAAAGAGGAGAATATAAATGGAGAATTTTTTTGTGACAGGCAGATATTGGTAGAAAGATAATATGTCGCATGTGGATTGTTGTAAGGAAGCAATGGCCGTTGAAAAATAAAAAACACACATGAAACCAGATTTCGTAAAAGGCAAATGTGATTCTTTTCAGTGGAATGCCTTTCAAAGAAAAAAGTGAGCTAAGCAGTTTCGTTATCTCTAAATAAAACGTTGCCAGA